GGACAGTGTCCCTCCCCAAGACCATCAATGTAATGGACAGTCTTCCTCCCAATGACCACCAATGTAATGGACAGTCGTCCCCCCAATGACCCCCAATGTAATGGACAGTCTTCCCCCAATGACCACCAATGTAATGGACAGTCTTCCTCCCAATGGCCACCAATGTAATGGGCAATCGTCCTCCCAATGACCGCCAATGTAATGGGCAGTCTTCCCCCCAATGACCACCAATGTAATGGACAGTCTTCCCCCCAATGACCACCAATGTAATGGACAGTCTTCCCCCAATGACCACCAATGTAATGGACAGTCTTCCTCCTCAAGACCACCAATGTAATGGACAGTCTTCCTCCCAATGGCCACCAATGTAATGGACAGTCTTTCTCCTCAAGACCACCAATGTAATGGATAGATAGAAAGGGTTAAGGGCACATGATAGCTAAAAAGAAGAGCAGCAAAAAATCCCTCCAAGCAAATTAACTTCCCAGAGATCTCGTGGGGCCTAGACAGGCTTCTGTCTTTCAGTATTGTGACGGACCCCCGTACTCAGGATGAGTATGTCCGCCGCTGTCTTCTTCCTTGCTGAGGAGATATCGGAACCTGAAGATCCTTAGCTCCCAGTTTCCCCAGTCACTAGCCAAGGCTCAGTGTAGGTGAAACAAACTCTGGTTTATTGAGAAACTGCACAAACTTTTATACAGAAAGTGATCAGATCAGATTATAATCCCATCACATCCCCCCTCCCCCTCCCCAGAAATCCTGTCTTCACAACACCACAGGTGTCCACCTGCTAAATAGCTCCAGACGGCCATAGCAGGGGCCTGGCCAGAATGTCATTGTTCTGAGCTCCCTCAGAGAACAATGGGAGATAACGAGGGATGGTGCTGATAGTCTTTCCATAACCAGGTCACACAGCATAACGCACTCAAAACATAACCCAACACCAATACACATTTAACTTATAAACTCATCACCATGTCGTCACAAGTATCTTTTGACTTCTGCCCCAGGTCGCCTGTAGGACCCTTTATGCCTCTGCTATCAGTTATTTGTAGATTCTATAGGTCCAGGCAGGCGCCTACTGTTCAGTATCTTTGGCCTCAGGTACAGGCCAGTTTAGGACACTCTAGGTCGAGACAGAATGTTAGGAGAACAAACCCCTTTCTTGGCTCTGGCTTCCTTGTCCAGGCAAAGGGCCTGAGAGGCAAAGACTGGACCTCCCTGCAGCTACAACTGGACTGGGCCCTGCTGCACTCACATCCTCACCAGGGAGCCAACCTGGGAGGAAAAGACACTTCTAGAAGGTATCTCCAAATATCTAACCCCTTTCTCAGCCCACATCGCTGGCATAACCACCTCAGCGATTTGTCAGAACAGAATAAATATTCATAACTCAAAACCTTGTAACCCCCCAGAACTGGGCAGAAGGAAACAATATCCTCGGACGTAGAAGAAACACATCAAATCCAGATAACAAAGAAATCTCAGGCTGGCTTCGGCCCAACCGCAAACACTAAGGGGGTTATTCACTAAAGAGCCGAAGGATCCAGCCGCAGCTTCGGGTGTTCCTTGGGCTCGCTTCGGCCGCCGCTGCCCTTCGGCTCAGCCGAACATGCTGAGCAACGCACCACCGAAAGGCAGCTGATGTGCGGCTGAAATCAGGCGTTTGGCTCATTTCACTTGGGCTGGGTTATTCACTCGACTGTCTTCGGCAGCTTTGTGAATAACCCCCTTAGGCTAGGGACACTCCAGCTTACGGCAGGGTCCCTACCCTCCCAATTCCGAGCACACTTCCTCCCACTGACCACCAATTCTGAGGATGTTTTCTTCCAATGCTGGGAACTCCCCCTCCAAAAGACCACCAAATCTTAGGGCTTGGCCTTCCACTGACCACCAAATATGGGAACTCTTCCCTCCGCTGACCACCAATGTATATGGTTGTAGGTTACATCATGCGGAGTGCGTCTCTCTGTGCTGTACATTTCCTGACCATGGGATTCTATCCGTTGTGTTATACTTTACATTCTCATTAACACTATTTCTTTTCCCAACTTTATTGAAATGTCTCAAAATGACATTTCATTCTACTCTAGGCTCTGTGTGGCTCTGTGTAGAGGCGCAGACAGGCTCCATTTTTATGCCGTGCACAACATACATGTGTGGTATGAACGGGGCACAATATGCGTTCATTAATGCAGCTCAACACGCCAGCTGGGAAGCAGCCATTACAAATCAGACTTTTGTCTTGCGAGGGTTGTAAAGTACTTAAAAAAAACGTACGATCTGCCTATCTTGGATGGGCAGATCGTACTTGCGATCATCGCAAACCACGCCCCCCTGAGGAGGCCGGGCTTCCGATGACTGCAATGCTGAACGGGCAGTGTGCGCACACCGGCCCGTTCAGCAGTGATCTCTCGATCATGTTAAAAACCAGCCGAAAATCGTACGCTTCTCGGCTGGTTTTCCAACATGCTCGATGTACAAAAGTTGTGCGACCGTACATTAGAAACGGTCGCACGCCTTCCATACACTGCACGATTCTCGTACGAGGGATGGGCACCTTAAGAGGAGTAATTGTCCAATTCAGGACTTTATGGTTCTCGTATGACAGAGAAGAGTGACGCAATCAGGGGCGTAAATAGAAATCACAGGGCCCCATAGCAAAATGTTGTATGGGCCCCTGTGATTTCTAGTTACACCCCTTGAAGAACCCACATAGCTCACCTGAGTACACATTTAACTTATAAACTCATCACCATGTCGTCACAAGTATCTTTTGACTTCTGCCCCAGGTCGCCTGTAGGACCCTTTATGCCTCTGCTATCAGTTATTTGTAGATTCTATAGGTCCAGGCAGGCGCCTACTGTTCAGTATCTTTGGCCTCAGGTACAGGCCAGTTTAGGACACTCTAGGTCGAGACAGAATGTTAGGAGAACAAACCCCTTTCTTGGCTCTGGCTTCCTTGTCCAGGCAAAGGGCCTGAGAGGCAAAGACTGGACCTCCCTGCAGCTACAACTGGACTGGGCCCTGCTGCACTCACATCCTCACCAGGGAGCCAACCTGGGAGGAAAAGACACTTCTAGAAGGTATCTCCAAATATCTAACCCCTTTCTCAGCCCACATCGCTGGCATAACCACCTCAGCGATTTGTCAGAACAGAATAAATATTCATAACTCAAAACCTTGTAACCCCCCAGAACTGGGCAGAAGGAAACAATATCCTCGGACGTAGAAGAAACACATCAAATCCAGATAACAAAGAAATCTCAGGCTGGCTTCGGCCCAACCGCAAACACTAAGGGGGTTATTCACTAAAGAGCCGAAGGATCCAGCCGCAGCTTCGGGTGTTCCTTGGGCTCGCTTCGGCCGCCGCTGCCCTTCGGCTCAGCCGAACATGCTGAGCAACGCACCACCGAAAGGCAGCTGATGTGCGGCTGAAATCAGGCGTTTGGCTCATTTCACTTGGGCTGGGTTATTCACTCGACTGTCTTCGGCAGCTTTGTGAATAACCCCCTTAGGCTAGGGACACTCCAGCTTACGGCAGGGTCCCTACCCTCCCAATTCCGAGCACACTTCCTCCCACTGACCACCAATTCTGAGGATGTTTTCTTCCAATGCTGGGAACTCCCCCTCCAAAAGACCACCAAATCTTAGGGCTTGGCCTTCCACTGACCACCAAATATGGGAACTCTTCCCTCCGCTGACCACCAATGTATATGGTTGTAGGTTACATCATGCGGAGTGCGTCTCTCTGTGCTGTACATTTCCTGACCATGGGATTCTATCCGTTGTGTTATACTTTACATTCTCATTAACACTATTTCTTTTCCCAACTTTATTGAAATGTCTCAAAATGACATTTCATTCTACTCTAGGCTCTGTGTGGCTCTGTGTAGAGGCGCAGACAGGCTCCATTTTTATGCCGTGCACAACATACATGTGTGGTATGAACGGGGCACAATATGCGTTCATTAATGCAGCTCAACACGCCAGCTGGGAAGCAGCCATTACAAATCAGACTTTTGTCTTGCGAGGGTTGTAAAGTACTTAAAAAAAACGTACGATCTGCCTATCTTGGATGGGCAGATCGTACTTGCGATCATCGCAAACCACGCCCCCCTGAGGAGGCCGGGCTTCCGATGACTGCAATGCTGAACGGGCAGTGTGCGCACACCGGCCCGTTCAGCAGTGATCTCTCGATCATGTTAAAAACCAGCCGAAAATCGTACGCTTCTCGGCTGGTTTTCCAACATGCTCGATGTACAAAAGTTGTGCGACCGTACATTAGAAACGGTCGCACGCCTTCCATACACTGCACGATTCTCGTACGAGGGATGGGCACCTTAAGAGGAGTAATTGTCCAATTCAGGACTTTATGGTTCTCGTATGACAGAGAAGAGTGACGCAATCAGGGGCGTAAATAGAAATCACAGGGCCCCATAGCAAAATGTTGTATGGGCCCCTGTGATTTCTAGTTACACCCCTTGAAGAACCCACATAGCTCACCTGAGGGTGACCCTGCAGAGCCCGCCATAGACTCTCTATAGACTCTGTATAGACTCTCTATGGTGGGCTCTGCAATGTCACCCTCAGGTGGGCTGGTCACACTCCTTACCTGTCCGCCTCTTCTTCCTCCATCTTCCCTCCTCCGTCGCCGGGCCCGCCTCCTACTCCGTTACCGGCCCCGCCTCCTTCTCTAATGCTGACCCCTGGGGCCCCGCCTCCTCCTCCCCGCCACGTTTAGCCTCCTCCACCGCCGCTGCTGCTGACTCTCATTGACTCAGTAGCAGCTATGGAGAAGACCGCAGATCACGGTGATCTGAACAGCGGCGCGTTCGAACCCATAGCGACCCAGGCGGCCCGCACGGCATCAGCGCGGTGTCCTGTGCCGGGCCCCCCCTGTGCCCGGGCCCCATAGCGGCCGCCTGGGTCGCTATGGCTATTGTTACGCCACTGGACACAATGCAGAATGGGTTTAGTAAGAAGTGACTGCGGATTGAATGGGTCTGTTGAGTGGTGTTTGCAATGCTGGGGCGCTCCTATTGAGTTTGGGCTTCTTACAGATGAGATACACCAAGAAGGTGTCAGTGTGGCCCGTGGCTTTTGTTGGAGGGCTCCGCTATGAATCCGTGAAGGTCAACATGGAGGGTAAAGTGGCCGGATGGTTCGTGAAATTTTTCCCATCCCGATCATTCGCCATCGACATGGCCGGCTTCGCCATTAACTTGAAGCTAATCCTGGAGAAGCGCACGGCAATATTCCGGCTGGATGTCGCTGCGGGCTACCAAGAGCCCAGCCTACTGCAGGACCTGGTGACAATGGAGGAGCTGGAGCCCAAGGCTGACAACTGCACCAAGGTAAGTCTCCAGGTGCCCCTCTACCCCCTCCCCCCATACAAATATCACCTGCGATCAGCTTCCATGTGATTGGTGAACTTTCTCTGAACGTTTCTTGGTATTTGGCAGATTCTGGTGTGGCACACGAAGACCCAAACACCGAACTTGCGTAATGACAAAAACTTCACAGACCCAAATGTTGAAGTCTAAACGATAACGAGAGAAAAACGAAAATTCTCAGCAATGAAAATGGAGACGCACCGCCCGGGAGAGACGCAGCGACGACATGTGTGCGTGTGAACCAGCACCGGCCTAAGGACGATGGGAAGAGAATCTCGGTTCTGTAAATCTGACAAGCAAGCTCTAAGGCACGGCGCACATGGCAGGACCGCACTACACAGAGGAGCCGTGACCTCTGAACCCCAAAAGTTAGACATTGTCATTTGTTTTGTTTTATGCAGGTTGGTCGGTGAGCGTGCCGGGAAAGGTTTTGCTTTTGTTCTGTATCTCTGTCATCCAGGACGCGTGATGTGCGGCACAAATGTCCATCAATAAATGTTCATGGCTGAGAAAGTCTGTGATGATCGTGAGGTCTCATGAACCCCCAAACTGAGCGGAGAGAATGGGGGAGTCATAGTGGACTCCATGCTACCCTCATCATATCCACAATTCCAGAGGCGGCTCTAGAGTTTGCGTGGCCTTAGGCGAAACCTAAACATGAGGCCCCGCTCAGGCCTGTGGGGTCTCACCAGGGCTCTGTAGGGTCTCACCAGGGCTCTGTAGGGTCTCACCAGGGCTCTGTAGGGTCTCACCAGGGCTCTGTAGGGTCTCACCAGGGCTCTGTAGGGTCTCACCAGGGCTCTGTAGGGTCTCACCAGGGCTCTGTAGGGTCTCACCAGGGCTCTGTAGGGTCTCACCAGGGCTCTGTAGGGTCTCACCAGGGCTCTGTAGGGTCTCACCAGGGCTCTGTAGGGTCTCACCAGGGCTCTGTAGGGTCTCACCAGGGCTCTGTAGGGTCTCACCAGGGCTCTGTAGGGTCTCACCAGGGCTCTGTAGGGTCTCACCAGGGCTCTGTAGGGTCTCACCAGGGCTCTGTAGGGTCTCACCAGGGCTCTGTAGGGTCTCACCAGGGCTCTGTAGGGTCTCACCAGGGCTCTGTAGGGTCTCACCAGGGCTCTGTAGGGTCTCACCAGGGCTCTGTAGGGTCTCACCAGGGCTCTGTAGGGTCTCACCAGGGCTCTGTAGGGTCTCACCAGGGCTCTGTAGGGTCTCACCAGGGCTCTGTAGGGTCTCACCAGGGCTCTGTAGGGTCTCACCAGGGCTCTGTAGGGTCTCACCAGGGCTCTGTAGGGTCTCACCAGGGCTCTGTAGGGTCTCACCAGGGCTCTGTAGGGTCTCACCAGGGCTCTGTAGGGTCTCACCAGGGCTCTGTAGGGTCTCACCAGGGCTCTGTAGGGTCTCACCAGGGCTCTGTAGGGTCTCACCAGGGCTCTGTAGGGTCTCACCAGGGCTCTGTAGGGTCTCACCAGGGCTCTGTAGGGTCTCACCAGGGCTCTGTAGGGTCTCACCAGGGCTCTGTAGGGTCTCACCAGGGCTCTGTAGGGTCTCACCAGGGCTCTGTAGGGTCTCACCAGGGCTCTGTAGGGTCTCACCAGGGCTCTGTAGGGTCTCACCAGGGCTCTGTAGGGTCTCACCAGGGCTCTGTAGGGTCTCACCAGGGCTCTGTAGGGTCTCACCAGGGCTCTGTAGGGTCTCACCAGGGCTCTGTAGGGTCTCACCAGGGCTCTGTAGGGTCTCACCAGGGCTCTGTAGGGTCTCACCAGGGCTCTGTAGGGTCTCACCAGGGCTCTGTAGGGTCTCACCAGGGCTCTGTAGGGTCTCACCAGGGCTCTGTAGGGTCTCACCAGGGCTCTGTAGGGTCTCACCAGGGCTCTGTAGGGTCTCACCAGGGCTCTGTAGGGTCTCACCAGGGCTCTGTAGGGTCTCACCAGGGCTCTGTAGGGTCTCACCAGGGCTCTGTAGGGTCTCACCAGGGCTCTGTAGGGTCTCACCAGGGCTCTGTAGGGTCTCACCAGGGCTCTGTAGGGTCTCACCAGGGCTCTGTAGGGTCTCACCAGGGCTCTGTAGGGTCTCACCAGGGCTCTGTAGGGTCTCACCAGGGCTCTGTAGGGTCTCACCAGGGCTCTGTAGGGTCTCACCAGGGCTCTGTAGGGTCTCACCAGGGCTCTGTAGGGTCTCACCAGGGCTCTGTAGGGTCTCACCAGGGCTCTGTAGGGTCTCACCAGGGCTCTGTAGGGTCTCACCAGGGCTCTGTAGGGTCTCACCAGGGCTCTGTAGGGTCTCACCAGGGCTCTGTAGGGTCTCACCAGGGCTCTGTAGGGTCTCACCAGGGCTCTGTAGGGTCTCACCAGGGCTCTGTAGGGTCTCACCAGGGCTCTGTAGGGTCTCACCAGGGCTCTGTAGGGTCTCACCAGGGCTCTGTAGGGTCTCACCAGGGCTCTGTAGGGTCTCACCAGGGCTCTGTAGGGTCTCACCAGGGCTCTGTAGGGTCTCACCAGGGCTCTGTAGGGTCTCACCAGGGCTCTGTAGGGTCTCACCAGGGCTCTGTAGGGTCTCACCAGGGCTCTGTAGGGTCTCACCAGGGCTCTGTAGGGTCTCACCAGGGCTCTGTAGGGTCTCACCAGGGCTCTGTAGGGTCTCACCAGGGCTCTGTAGGGTCTCACCAGGGCTCTGTGGGGGTCTAACCAGCCTTGTTAGACCCCACAGACAGCTCGTGAGACCCCACAGAGCCCTGGTTAAAATGGGGCTACCTAGGGTCTCCACAGGACTCTCTAGGATACAATTCACAAGGCGATAACAAACACAATCAGATCTCATGTGTGGGGGAGGCGGCCAGAGAAGGTGACATATCGGACCGCACTCCCACATGACACACAAAGCAGAGACGTCAGCTGGACGCAGAGATCATCCATCATCATCATCCATCATCATCATCATCATTATCCATCATCCATTATCCATCATCATCATCCATCATCATCATCCATAATCCATCATCCATCATCATCATCATCATCCATCATCATCATCCATCATCCATCATCCATCATCCATCATCATCATCATCATCCATCATCCATTATCCATCATCATCATCCATCATCATCATCCATAATCCATCATCCATCATCATCATCATCATCCATCATCATCATCCATAATCCATCATCCATCATCATCATCCATCATCATCATCCATCATCATCATCCATCATCATCATCATCCATCATCCATCATCATCATCATCATCCATCATCATCATCCATCATCATCATCCATCATCATCATCATCCATCATCATCATCCATCACCATCATCCATCACCATCATCCATCATCCATCATCATCATTCACTAGTTCTGCTCTGTAAAGCAGTTTTAATAAGGTTTTGTCATGTCCCTGGTGTGAATATTCAGGATGCAGCACAGGAGTATACAGGAATATACAGGAGTATACAGGAGTATACAGGAATATACAGGAGTATATAGGAGTATACAGGAGTATATAGGAGTATACAGGAGTATATAGGAGTATACAGGAGGACACAGGAGTATACAGGAGGACACAGGAGTATATAGGAGTATACAGGACGACACAGGAATATACAGGAGTATATAGGAGGACACAGGAGTATATAGGAGTATACAGGAGGACACAGGAGTATATAGGAGTATACAGGAGTATATAGGAGTATATAGGAGGACACAGGAGTATATAGGAGTATATAGGAGGACACAGGAGTATATAGGAGTATATAGGAGTATATAGGAGTATACAGGAGTATATAGGAGTATATAGGAGTATACAGGAATATACAGGAGTATATAGGAGGACACAGGAGTATATAGGAGTATACAGGAGGACACAGGAGTATATAGGAGTATACAGGAGGACACAGGAGTATTTTTTAAACTTTAGATTTTTATTAAATTATAAAATATCTGCAATACAACAATGTTGACTACATTCAAAAATTAGATACAGGTTTGGTATGTTAGCACATATAGGACTTAGGGTTCGGGTTAGGGTTCGGGTTAGTCCTACATCATCTACTAAACCTTAGAATTTTTCCACCTTGGGATCGAGAATGTTAAAATGGTCACATCGGAATGTAGCGGCAATGAAACCTCCCTATGTGACTCCCACAGTGAAAGTATCCGTGTCAATCAACATTTCCAACATAAGAATAACTCTGAGAAGGAACATACTATACTAGAGGGTATCTATAAGGGAAGGGGTAGGAA